TGTTTTTTTCTGCTGCTGCAGTCCCGATGAGTGCTGTCAACCTAACGAGGCACTTCATGGGTTTTTTTGGGTTTTGTTTTTTTTTTTTTTACATTAAAAGCCATCTAGATCTATAAATTTTGAATTAGCATTAACTGAAGGGCTGAAGAAATAAGAAATAAAAGCAAAGTAAACTTTGCCAGTCAGGTCACTATTTCAGAAAATGACTGTGCTCACATTCATAAATGTTACTGTACATGTGAATCTGTGCAATGCGCCGACTCCAAATCCTGCCCAGATTCTGTCTTTGATGTTTTTCTTTCTCTTACTCATAATGCTGCAGCATGTGAAACTCAGCCCAGCCACTGATGTGTGGATTACCGCCATATAAAGCCAGTGTGGAAGTATTGTACGCACGCTGTCACGACACAGTCTTGTTTATAAATACTAGTGTATGTGTGGAAACTGGTGTATGTAGATTGGGGATATACACATCTGGCTCCAGGGCAGAGTGGTGGCTCGGTGCTTTCACCGTACAGCAACTAGATTGTTACTTTTATTTCCTTTGATTTCTTGGAGTTTGCATGGTTTCCGCCTAAAGACAAATTGCTCATTCTTAACTGTAAATTCAAGAGAGGGATTTTTTAAACGTTGTGTTCTCTAATTGTGTGCTGATCTATTTTTCTGTCCATGCTGTATACCCCCCAAATTATTCCTCATTCCCAACTATGTTATGAAGCATAATGTGATTGTTTTTATGACTTCTTTATCTGCTGTATATTTTGTGTCCTCACAGTGAGCTGTCTCGATTCAGTATATGTTTATTTCAGAGGCAAGTGGGGGCTATATGAAATTACAATAATTCAATCAAATTCAACTTTCTTTTTATTACCAAAAGAATGACACAGAGCACTATTATATCCAGCTTTCCATGATCCTCTAAAGCACAATACTGTCACATTTTAAGAATAAAGAGAATATGCAAGTAATTTGTAAGCGTAAATTTATCGTCATATTAAATAAATCTGGGCATTTGAGTGTTAATTTTTTAGGTTGTTGAAAAGCCATTGAGTCATCACTCTTCTTTTAGAGGAAAGAACTGATCCTAACAGTCCAGTTGTGATGATCTGCCTTTAATGGCAATACTAGCTACCTGTAATTAAGAAGATATGGATTATTACTGCATGAAATCTGCAACAATTCTGCAGTGTTTGGCTGTAATGATGGTCATTATCATACAAATCTTATTTGTGTCTCTGGTTTCTTCTCTGTTGTATTGTTACATTTTCCAGCAGACTTCAGTGTTATGCTGTAGTTATTAATTAGTCATTTTGCTACTCTGCATACGTTAGGGAGAAATATTTCCATTAATTGATGTCACTCGAGGGTTGAGGCTATACGTGGCAATTTTCAAACTCGGGAGATTCTCAAGGGATCACTAAGACCTGACAGTCGAAAGCAATGTTAGACTGTTTCTTGGCAGTGTTCTTGCTTGCTGGGCTGCATACAGCAACTCTTACTTGAGTTTTTCCCCACCAATAACACACCTAATTCTTCTTCTTTTTTTTCACCTGTTCCTTTTATGGGTCACCACAACAAATCCTTGCCTTCATGCCACCCCTATCCCTTGCATCCTCTTCTGTCACACTAACCCTCTGCATATCCTCCTTCATGACTTCCATGAATCTTTCCTGTGATATCCCACTTTTACTCATCCCTGGCAGCTCAATTTTTAACATCCTTTGTCTGGTATATCCACTTTCTCTCTTCTGATATACTCATTCTGGGTACTTCCAACAAAAAATCTTAACATCTTGAACTCACCTCCACCTCCAGCTCAGCCTCCTATCTTTCCATTTGTGTCACCGTCTACAAACCATATATCATAAGAGGCCATCTTGCAAAACTTCCCTTTCAACTCTTACTGCTATCCTACTGTCACAAATCACTCCTGACACTTGTGTCCACCAAACCTGTAGTGTCTTTTTCCTCTCTCGGATAGTTGATAGTTGCATACTTGTCCATTTTCACTTCCTCTGCTCCGTGTAGATTCCCTGTTACATCTATCATTTACACAAATGTATTCTGCCTTGCTTCTACTTTCATTTCTCTTGTCTCCAAAGCATACCTCCACCTCTCCAGGCTCTCTTCCACCTGCTCCATGCTCTCATTACAGATCACAGCATTGCCTGTGATCATCCTCCTCCACAGAGACGTGTGCCTGACCTCATCTGTCAAACTCCCCATCACCACTGGAAAAAAAGGAGCTCAAAACCAACATGTCCTGCACCATCCTCACATAGTTCGTTGCCATTCCTGGCTTTCTCATGCAGTATACCACTTTGCTTTCTCTAGACCACAAATACACTATGAAACTCCTTCTGACCTTCGCTACACTCCTCCATCAACACTCTAAGTCAAACACTGGAACTGTGCTCTTTTCTCCACATGAAGCCATACTGCTGTTTGCACCTATCACCTATCTTCTTAACCCAGTGGTTCTTAACCTGGGTTCGATCGAACCCTAGGGGTTCGGTGAGTCAGTCTCAGGGGTTCGGCAGAGCCTCCGCCTTGACATGCACGGCTCATTTTGTGCACGAGTAAAAAAACATATCTATGTCTTGAATTTGAAAAAAAAATAAAATCATATTTTATTTTTCACTAAAGAGGGGTTCAGTGACTGCACATATGAAACTGGTGGGGTTCAGGACCTCCAACAAGGTTAAGAACCACTGTCTTAACCTAACTTCAGCAGCTCTTTTCCATATCTTCATGATCTGGCTCGCCAACTTTATCTCTCTGTAGTTACTACAGCTCTGCACATCACCCTTGTTCCTGAAAAGCACCAGTAAACTTCCTCTCTATTGCTCAGGCATCCTCTCACTGTCCAAGATTTTATTAAACAATCTGGTTAAAAAGTCTCACACTAGTCCTGTCAGCTTTCTTCATCAGCCCGACTACTTTCCATGTTTTCTTTGCTAATCTCTTCCTTTAAATACTTTCCTGCAGTAACATTTATGAATGTGACCACCATCGCGTCACTCTGTCTTCTTTACTCTGTCCAGAGAATAGGACAAATGCCCTCATGGCAGTATCTGTGCAACATTTCTACCATTTAATCCTTGCCTATGTCTTCACTCACTTCCACTTCTTGTTTCCACTTGTGTTTCAGATTGCTTCTTCTGTATAAGATGTAGTGCACCTATGTGTACGTCCTTGCATTCTTATACATCCCTTTGTGTTCCTTCTTCATGTTCACCATAGTCATTTCCATCCTTTTTGCAAAATCCACAACCATCTGTCCTTTTGCATTTCTCTCCTTAACACTATACGTACCCAACACCTCCTCATCACCTCTGTTCCCTTCACCTACATGTCCACTGAAGTCTCATCCAATAACCTCATTACCAATCACCTCCAGTGTTTCTGTCCTTGCTTCCCTTCCACCTGGTCTCTTGCACAAACAATATACCTTCCTTCTCTCCAGCACATGAACTAGCTCTTTCCCTTTACCAGACTACAGAGTCCCTGCTCTCACCTCCCCACTTAGACCTTCCCTTCTCTCTTGCTACCTACAAACACACCTTCCCCCTTTCTTTGTCTTCAGCCAACAGTAACACCGTTTCCGTAGTTATTGTTAACTCTAGCCCTGACTGATCTGGTATAGAAATTGCATGTGGGAACCTCAATAATCTGCTTGTTTGATTTTAACACCTGATACCCTTTCTCATGTAACCTTCCCCATTTACCTGGGGCTTGGGACTGGCTATAGAAATAAGCTGGGTTCCAAAAGTGAATCTAATTATCACCTTAGTTTCTTTTGCTTGTCCAAAATAAATCTATTACTTTTAAAGATGCTATAATTGATATTATTTAGGGTTTAAAACAGTGCAAGTTTGTTTTCTTTGAAAAGAAAAAGAAAAAACAGCGAGAAATATCGAATGTGGAACAACGTAGAACGTAAAAGTCTTTTGTCTGAGCCTGTAGAGAATTATAGCCTGAATATACTCCTCCCTTCAGCTTTGCAGAGCTTTATAATCAACTTCAGATCATCGTTTAGGTGTCTAGCCAACAGTTTCAATGTTTTGTTGCACTCTTATTCCTCTCTCAACTTTTTGCAGCCATACCAAGTAGCTGCTTTTAGCAAAAAAAACAACAACTTTAAAATCAACAGTGAGCTGCCTGCATCAGACACGGTTGGTGACTAGCTGTTGAGCATAATGGAGTATTTAGCAGTTAGAAAAGGTAATGCAAATAAGAGCTGATCACCAGATATGCTGTAAATCCTAACTGCTTGTCTAATTCATCTGATTATGTAGCTTGTCAGTGCAGCTTCTGCCCTTTTTGAAAATTAGCAGTGTGTAACATACCCTTTTTGAGGAAGCAGTTAGAAAAGGTAATGCTAATAAGAGCTGATCACCAGATATGCTATAAATCCTATATTAAATTGATCACCTTATAACTACTGCATTATATAGAACTTTGGTTTTGGATTTTTCTTTGGGGAGGGGGGTTCATTTAACTTAGTATGGTTTAGTTTTTACCCTGTTGCAGTTCTCAGGATAGGGCAGAAGTGGGGTGACTGTAAGCAAAAGTTCAATTTTGTTATATGTTTTACTACTTAATAGAGGTTTAAATCATGATAAAATATGCAGTGACTTTTCCCACCAAGAGAGATTGTGCTATCTACAGCTGTATAAAGTATGGCATTAAGCCCGAAGCTTTAAGCATGCAGCCGAGCTAAACCATTCACTTGTTATAGCTGTGTGGATAAACACACTAGACTCAGCAGAAATATAGAGCAGCAATGAAATGAGCTGTGAGATGAACTGTGATTTTGAAGACTGAATATATAGCGGTTCCACTTTTAATAGGTGGGCAATGCTGTCAAAACACTTTCCCCATGAGCCAAATGTGTCACCTCCCTCATGATACATCAAAAGAGGAATGTTTTCAAGTTGGGTAAAAGTTTAAACAAAAAGAACACAGAATAGCTTTTTCTCAACAGGAGAATATCTTACTTGTGCACTTCTTGAGCCCGGACCCTTTCTTCACCGCATGACGGCTGAGTTTGCAGTTGAAGTTGTTTTCCCAGAATTCAGCAAACCAGATATTCCTTCTGTTGTTTTCCAGCGTTCGACTGATGAAGTAACGATCAAACCCTAAACAGATCAGTCGGTTCATTGTCAGTGATGCGGTCATTCTCAGTGTAAGCAACGCTATATGAGAACCGTAGCTGTCATGTGTTCTAGAGTATATGCAATAATTCAATATCGTGTGCACATTCACTTTGCTTCTTTTTTGTTTTTTATTTGACTGAACTTTTTTACATCTTTGATGATTAAATGAGTGTTGAAGTCATTACAAATAACGTAGTCTTCTGAAAGAGTAAAAGATAAATAGTTTTGTTTTACTTGCATGGAAATAATAAATCACTGATATGTGCACATGATTTTAGAAGGTAGGGAGATCAGATGCTTGCATAATGTCCATCTCTGTACCTCTGATGGACTGACGCTTGGGCAAGATGGTGACTGCTCCCTCTGCCATCTCCTCCTGCTGCACAACCGGAGAGATCTTTGAGCCCCAGCTGTCTGAACCCACCCAGATAAAATGACCTGTCTGGTTGGCCTTTTTCGCTGCATGGAGCAGCCGCCTGCGAAGGTGAGGAAACAGATGTTGCCACAGATAAGGTCAGCATCCCAACCAGCTCCACTTTAATTTTGTTGTGCAATTCATTACACAGTAGTCTGGCAGACCCGCACTGAAACGGCTGTGTTCCCACATGTTTGCATGCTGTCTGCTGTAGTCATGTTTTCCTAATCTTCAAAAGAAGTGTTAATCTATTACCAGGTTATACCTGATATCATCTTCATTGGCAAAAAGTATGACGACTCTGGCATTTGGATTTTCTCTGAGTCGCCGGATGACCTTGTCGAACTCTCCTTGCTTGGGCTCCCGGGGAATTTTGACAGACTGGGAGATGCACACACCGCCTAGAAAAACAAATATAGAGACATAAAATAATATGTCAGAGAACTCTCAGACACGCAAACATATGATTAAAACATCAATGATCAGCCAGTACCGTACTTAATTGAGTGGTTTGAACGTGAAATTAATATGAAATTAAATGTTGTATGTTGCTGAATAAAGCGCGGTGGCTATTAAGTGAGAAACAAACTGTCTTTTAGAGTTTATTAAAGTAACATCATTTTCACTTACTAGCAGCTCTGACCAGGAAAATATTCTTTGCATTTTTGTGGGATAGGAGAAATTATCTTAATTATCAATAATTGAAAGTTCTGGTCACCCATACTATTTGTTGATTCAGAGGATAGGTTTAAAATGTATGTAACATTGTCATGAATTTCCATATTTTAATAGTCAATAAAAAAAGTTTATCTAAATTTATTGAAATATACAGTTTCACTTTTACCTGAACACTGTTGCTACCAGACAGAACGAACACTGAGATTACATGTTACTGTACTGTTAATGCTTGTTAACAATAAAGCTTACTGTGTGTGCTATTCTTCTTCAAACTGTTTTGTTCTAGACTTCACTTGGACAGGTATAAATGTTCTTTAGTCTGTTTAAGGTATGCTGAAAGCCTGGACCTCGGAGTTTATGCAACAAATGAACAAGGTAATGTTTGTTCATTGTAATGCATACAAAGGACCTTTATGCGACGGGACAGCTTTGCAGCTCTGATTTGTTTTCTGCCATGTTAGGTCCGGTCATGCTGGTTAGCATGACAGCACAAAACACTGGCACAAAAGGCTTTTTTTGAAAGCTTTGTTTCTCCACCGCTGCAGGCATGTTGTGAAGGTTGTGGTTATGTTGGCCTATCCAGTCTCTGTAATAAAACACTGAAATATTATAGGAAGTATGTTCTTTACCCATTAGACAAAGCAGAGTTAGAGAACCTACAAAAGGAAAAAAATACACTTTGAGTCCTTGCAAAGGCAACAGAGAAAGAGGATGCTGACATGTGTTTTATGCCACTCAAGTGAGTTTTCCTGGGCTTCTCCAACAGGATTTCTTGGGTGAAATTTAGAGCGCCTCAGAGTGCCATGTTTGTCTGAACGATTGTTTCTGAGCTTCCTGCAGCTCTACGGACAGCAGGGACACTGCCAGAGGATTGCTTTGCACATACTTTACACTGTTTATCGTACACAGAAACACAATGTTTAGAAGCCAGAAAGAGTGAGGGGGTCATAACTACTTAAACAACTGCAAAAGCAGTGTGTGTTATTTTTAACTGTCACAAGTTGCTCTCCAAACTAGTAAAAATGAGAGTACTAGAATGCCGAATGAGTCTTATTTTTACTACACCTACTTATATTTAGTTAAGGTGTGTGCACTTTGTAAAAGTCTATAGCCTAGACTCCTGCCATTTGGTGGTCTTCTGCTCTGATGCCCAGCCTAATGAGGGGGCAGCTAAACCTGTCCCCATTTAGCTGTCTAAAAAAGTTTTGAAGTCTGAGACAGAGTCCCTGTGTTGGATGAAACTGTCTCCTCCTTCCTCACCTGTCAGTGAACCTCATTAAGTTTGAGAAGGTCAGACAAATCCTGGCTCAGTCCTCAGACATGCAAAGATTTAAAATGTTGTCAGCAAAAAACCTGCAGGGAATGGCATATAAAGAAGCTCCAAAAGGGATAACAGCATCAGCCAATGATCAGCAGTGATATGCTGTCTTTTCCCAATTTAATTTATTTTTTTATTTTACAACACAACTTGGAGCACATATATGTACTTGTATTGGTACTTCTTAAATAAGTGTTCATAAAACTTTTGAGTATAAAAACAGAAATAAGGCAGCAGGATAACTCAATCCTGTAAAAACACAACCAAGCAGAGCTGTTTTTACTTGTGAGTCTCCCCTGTGCGTCATCATTTTATACATCCCACATCAACATGTAAGGGAAACAGAAAGGAAAAGAAAGGAAAGGAAAAGTCAATATTAAACACTTTAATTAGATATTGAGCCAAAGCATGCCACTAGCAGACCATCAGTGCATTTTGACATTGATTGTTCATTCTTCCACCATCTGGTGTTTTGATGATGTGGGTGAGGACGTTCTCTGGCACAAAGGTGTTGAAGATCTAGTGATTAGCAAGGGCACAGCATGTGAATCATCATCACACCATTTAGTTATCGCTCATAGCCTACGTATTCGATTCTCATCCTGGAAGAGATCACTCCTGTTGCAGCAGAAATATTGCCTGAAACAGGTGAACACTCAGAACAACATTGCACTGTTTTTTCAATTACCCTTCCCACTAATGGTATCAGTGAATTCAAACCGTATCCCATTTTTTTCAGCTTGCCAACTGTCTCTATAGCGCATTTCTTTATTTTTATTTTTTTTTGCAAAATGTTGGTTTCACAGGTATTGCACATACCCTTTCGGGAAAATCCATTGGTCCAATAAAACACTACCCTGAAAACATTAAATGTCATACCTTTTGAATTTGTGCAATATTTTGAATCAGTGAGACAGACTGATACATCTACAGCTTTTTTTTTTTTTTATTGCAGTGGTCCCTGGAAATATGCCATGCAGGGATATTTTTATGCATTTTTCATGCATTTAATGAAATGCCAAAAAACCCCTCACTTTATCCAGATGTTCTGTGAATTGATTTGTCACCAAAAGCAGTATGCTTAAAAGAGAGGATTATTTCTGTAACAATCTGCGTCACCCACACTCTTATATTCACTACTTTTCTTTTGCAGTTATTCCTCTGTGTAGCTTTTTTCTTACTATCTATTTTTCCTCCGGCTAAGGGAAACAGCTATCCATGACCACAACACTTGAGCTATATAAATCACTAAACAAATCACAAAGACCAACAGCGATTCGGTGGAGGAAATATTCATTACGAGCATTCCATTTTTGATCCTAAAAGAGTTGTTTAGCATGGATAAAAATAACACTTTAACTGTCTTAATGCTTCAGATCATCCTTTAGTTTATGGTAGATATGCTGCAGGATGTGTGTGTCTTGACTGCAGTCATGAGAGCATTTCATCACTTCAACCATTTATGTGTGATGACCCACTTGTCCATTTCACTCAAACAGGCTCCATTATTGGTCATTCTGGGCATTTAGCAAAATGGATGGGTTTAGATAACTGACAAGCATTCAAGGCGAGCATCTCTTTGCAGTTTCTCACCTGCCACAGCAGAGGACCACCGCAGTGCTATCCTAACAATGTCTTCACTTAAATTAATGGAAACTAATAGTGACAAATAGCTGCTGTGGTGTCAGGCCAACCACAGCCACGCAGTTGGTCTCTGTCACAATAACTGAGCCACCGTTTCTTACTTTTCTCTTTCTGTTTTTATTTATAGTGAGATGCCTTCCAATGAACACAGACATGCGCAACATGCTGTTAGTGAGATAAACACAAATCTTCAAAGAAAATGTCAACAAAAAGTCAAGATATCAACAACCACAGCGTTTATTGCATTTGAACTATGTGAACACTGGATTCTATCATCACAAATCAGATTAAATCACAGCACCACAGAATGGACACTTCATGAACAAATAACCAAGAATTAGATTTATACTGCAGGGAGAGGCTATTTCTTCTTATTCTTTTTGTTTTTTAAATTGTAAAGAAGACATGCTAGGCTGTCAAAAGTGAAGTGATTTATGGATTTTAATGGCATAAATTCATCAGAAGACAAGTCAGGCAGTCAAGCTGCAGCTTTCTTTTCCTAATAATCTGACATCATTTACTATAGTATATGTTCACTTAGATATCTTGACTTTCCACATCATGAACAAGTGCAGCATTTTTTCTTATTCATTTATTTAATTTTATTTTCGGTGCTTATTATCTGTGCTTTCTAATATTTACAGTCTTAGCTGACCAGATCACAAAGAGAAGAATGCATAAAAATCCCAGCTGTAATAAATCGCTACAATCAAAGTCATTATACTAATGACATAATCAAATTTACATTTAAAGATCAGGCCATTATAATGACTCCTGTTGGCTTGCTTGTTAAATCTGACAAGTTGTTTCTTCCAAGCAATTCTCTTGTACTAGGTTCTTTTCTTTTTTCACATCACAAGGTGTCATTCTGATAGGGAAAGAAAACAAGGAAAACATCTTCATTGTTTTGTCAATATATAGTGTCAAACTAAGGGAAAACATGTTGAAGATATATGACAAGCTAATTAACATGTAAAAATACAGATGGACAATAGATGGAAATTAAAACTTAGTGAACACTATTATTATTAAACGTCTAACTCTTTTGGAGACAAATAGTATTGAGAAACACTCGTCATTTCCAGTGACGCGTGGTCACTGGTGTATTTTCAGTGTTTCTTCAAGTGTGATATGTGACCTACTATATTTATTCAGCCATTTTTTTTATTCATTGTGTTACATGTTGTTAATATGACAAAGATCATTTAATTTCATTTGCTTTTAGTTTGTGAATTTGGTTTGATTTCCCAAAGTGACAGTAATAAATATTTTTTAGGACTCGCACTATGTCGCTGCAGTTCTGTTCAGCCCTACGGGGTGTTTACTGTCTTTCAGCTAACTGGTTTTTTTGTTTTGTTTTGTTTTTTTTTACATCCCACAGATTTAATGATTTGAGTGCCATCAGTTTTTTTTTCTGTCTGCAAAGAGTTTGTATGTTAATGTTGATCCATCTGTGCTGAATGTGTAAACAGAAAACAGCTTGCTGCCAACTTTTAGAAACTGACAAAATGTTAGAGTTGTGTTTTAAGATTGTACATTTGGTCGCAAGTTAGAGGAACAAACTGAACTTTCAAATTTACCGTCATGTTTGATTTGCACGCTGTACTGACTTTATTTATCTTACAGTGCTATAAAGACACTGATCTTGTAAGCTGTACACTCTTTAGAAACTTTGATCATGTAAAAATACCAATATATCTGAGTCTGATGTGTGGAGACTTTTTTTTAAAAAATCAGTTGGTTTAAGTTTCTGTTTAAGTT